GACTCAAACCGCAGTCAACTACGTGGGAGTTCAGCGACATAGCCATTACACTAACTGCTGGTCCCTTTTTTTTATGTTTTTGTCACAGAGCACATGTGCTCACTGGAGAAGAGAGAGACAGAGAGATACAGAGAGAGGGAAAGTAATAAATCACCCCCTGGGGGGATGGTCATGTCACAATCCCCTCTCCCCTTTTCTCCTCTTGGGATTTTGGCCATGCACACATGCACTCAGTGTGATTTTCAAGCTACCAGGCCTGGAATTTGAACTGTGGCTGTACATTATCCTTTAAAGTTACTGCTTCAAAACTTTCAAAGGAAAGCTTCCACAATGCTGCTCAGAGGATCTCCAAGCACAGGACATGAGATGTTTTTATAATAGTGTTTGATTAAAAAAAATTATATACATATATATATATATACCTTGTCATAGAGAGAGAGAAAAAGCGAGAGGGAGAAAGCACCTTCCAATGGGATGTGGTCATATCATTATCCCTTCTACATTTCTCCATACTGTTGGGATTTTGGGTGCACACACTCAACAGCCTGGCATGTTTTTCAAGCTGCCAGGACTGGGATTCAGACCACTGCCAGTCATGTGGGATCCAGTTCCCTTAACCACTAGGCTACTGGCTTTGCCTGCCATTGTATTTTTATATACACGATATAGTATTTGAAAATACGAGATATAAGCTAGCCCATGCCTGGTAGTTAAAGTGACTGGATCCCACATGACCAACTGAGCTGTCTGAGTCCTGAACCCTGCAACTTGAAAAAGCATGTCAGCTTCATGTGCATGCATGCCAAAATCCTGGAAGGAGGAAAGGAGGGATGGGTGGAGGAGAAGGGATTGTGGCATGACCTCATCCCATGAGGGAGTGCTTTCCTTCCCCTCCACACTCCAGTCTCTCTCTAGCAGATACACATGAACCCTATAGCAATTTAAAAATAAATAAATAAAAATAGAAAAGGAAGAAAATACCACATGCACAAATAGTTTAGACTACAGCGAGGAATTGCAGCCTTAACCCAGAAAACAAAATCTTCACTGGTGGCATTTAAATAAGATGATGAAGTTTATTATCTGGAGTGCTGCAAATACTGCAAAAATTAAAAGATATATCTGTTAGAAAAGATTACAACATTCTAGATACTCCTTCAACAGTTTGCTTCTCATTGATCCTCAAAATGGAAAAGAAAGTTAGTAGGGATTCTGGAAAATAAAATTATATCTTTTTTATTATCTCCTTAATAGAAAGCCTATAACATCTAAGATAGCATTTTGATTGTCAAAAATGTTATAAGGAAAAAAAATGTTATAAGGATTTTACCAAGAGATTTATGATATAGTTGTCAGAAGTCAATTTAGACCAATTTACCCTGCTTTAAACCAGAATAATTTAAAAGGAAATTGGTCAAAATTATTTGGAAAACAAGGGAACTATCTAGGTAAATTGACTATCTAAGTAAGAACTCATTCGGCACACGAGGAAATAGTCTCGTTTGTTTGTTTCAGCTAAAGAGCTGATTTGGGCACATTAAGACATGTTAATATACACACTGAATGAAAGATCTCAAATACTGATTTCTATTACCTGTACTGGGGTTTCTGAATATATTTTTCAGTAAAATAAAAAGAAAGGAAAAAAATTCAAGCCAGTCCTGTTGCACAGCAGCTAAGCATGGTTCTAATCCCAACTTGAAAAACACACCAGGTACGTACGTGTGTGTGTGTGTGTGTGTGTGTGCCCCCAATCCTGATGGGATGAAGAAATGGAGGAAAAATAATTGCAGCAGACCAAGCTACTCTGGTGGGTGCTTTCTTTTTTTACTCTCTCACTCTCTCTTTCCTTCTCTCGGGAGAGCTTCTGGCTGTTAAAAAACAAAAATAATCAAAAAAAAAAATCCTTTCTCCACTTTGACCCTCCCTCCCCTTAAATCAGGAACACTCGTAAACAGAAGATCTTGACAATGGCATCCAGGTCTCAGTTATAATCGGACCAGTCTTGATTACAGAGTGAAATGAGGAGAAAAGGAAAAGTATGTAATTAAATACAGACTCACATTAGTTAAAAATGTATATTTTCAAAATTTTTCTAACATGTACCTTTTTAAAAAAATAAAACCAGATAAAAGACAGAAAGAAAGGAGTGGGGGTGGACAGGAGAAGAAAGGAGAGATTTTATAAAAAACAAGAGGAATAATTCTAATTGGAAATTAAAAGAACAAACTAGAAGACCCATACTCAGGTAAATCTCATTGGGAATATCTAAAAATTAGTATAAGTCAATTTACAAAGAATAAACTATTAACTTCATAGTATTCACAGCACAAAGTTGATCCAAAATCAGAATGTGATCTGATCCAGATGATAAATTACCCAAATTCTGAATTACCTTGAAATAAGCATGGTTTAGTCCTACATTGTGAAGAATAGCTTTCCTCCAAGATGTTAATCCTTGAGGGCTGTTACTGAAGAGTATCCTTGACTCCAAGTATAAGACCTTGGTGTGACCAAACTAGTAATGAGGGGAGGAAAGGAAAAAATGCAACTGAAATAATAGTAAATATAATATTTTAAACATTTCATCATAAAGTGAGTTTAATGTATTTTACATTGTAAATTACTCTACAATCAATATATTTACATACATATATTTTTTTAAGAGATTTCTGCTATAGGGTATTTGCACTCACCAAAGAGACAGAAAGAGAGAAATCACCTCCCAGGGAGGGTGGTCATGCCATAATCCCTTCTCTTCCATTCTCCTCTTGGAATTTGGGGCACACATATGCATGCACACGCGTACACACACACACACACACACACACATGCCCAGTGTAAGTTTTAAGCTGCTGGGTCTGGAACTCGAACCGTGGTCAACTGTGTGGGATTCCAGTGATATAACCATTACACCATCTACTGATCCCTCACACACACGTGTGCACACACACACACACACACACACACACACATTTACCCAGAGAATACTTTAAGAGCCAAGGGTCACTAAGCATGGAAAACAAGGAGTCAAGTGAAATGATTCAGACATGCTTCTACTAGAAGTCTTCTCACAGGACTTAATACGTTGACAATATATACATTGCACATCTGAGAATGGGGATGAAGTACACTATGATTCACAGAGTTACTGAGGCACAAGACTCCTCCTCTTCATCCCACAAAGAACATCATAGAACACTTCTGAAAAGGTTAGTATTATCTACTTCTCCAATTTTACAAGAAAAATTATAACCAATGGGAGCAAGCATCCAGGCACCTTAATCACTATACCACCTGCTGGCCCCAGAGTAATACATTTTTAAACAAAGCAAAAAGGGAGGAAACAGTCAAAAAAAAGTCAGTCTTTCATAAATGAATGACATACCTTAAATGAACATTTTATTTAATTACTTAATTTTTCTCAATCTTTACTTTCCTAAGAGTAACACCTTATCAGTCACTTAACTTTAAGGGCTTCAAAAGCTTATCTAAAACAATACAAGTCATTATTCTGATAGCTCAGATTTTCATTTTTATCCAATCCTGGTATACAGAAAACAGAAAGGAAATTGTATCATACAGAGTAATAACAAAAGCTATGGTGCCAGATAGATACTAGATATACATGCCAAATAAGGCATTTACTAGATGTATGAACTTGTGTTAGTTGCTGAACCACTCCATGCTCCATATCTTCAAGCATCTATTGGGTTAGTAGTAAATACCTCATACAGTTATGAGGATTAAATTATCTAATACATTAACAGCATTTAGCATGGCACCTGACACACAGTAATTACTCAACGAATGGTATCTATTATTAATGCTAAATCTAAATTACCAAATTGCTTATCTTTTATTGATTAGATTAGATACACATGGGGTGATTATGTGAGCTAATTTACATTAGTAAATTTGTCAAACACAATTACATACATAACAGTTTTTTAAAAAGTGTATGGATAGTCACTGAAAGAATGTAATAAGAATATTAATACACCAGTATCATATTAGTTAAACATCTGAAACAACCTGAATCTCTATCAACTATGTAATGGATAAATGATGGCACGGTCACACAATGGAATACTATTCAGAAAGGAGAACAAATAACCTACAACCACATGCATCAGTTTAATCTCACAAAAAAATAATCATAATCCAAATATTCCATACATAAAAAAGAATATATACTTTGATTACATTAATGTCAAGTTCAAAAACAAAATTAATCCATGCTCTTAGAAGTAAGAAAAGTGATGATCCTAGGAGGGACACATAGTGACTGGAAGGGTAGGCTGAGGGAAAGGGGGTTCTTTTGTAGTGCTAATCACATTCTGTTTCTTGATCGGATTGATCTGGAAGCAAGTCACAAAGGTTTTATCAGTTTGTGCAGATTAATTGATAGATACATCATTTATAATATGTGTGCCTTTCCATGTGTATATTACATGTCAATAGACAATTTTGAAAATAATAAGAAATCTACACATAATAAGAACTAGGAAGTGGCATATTTCAAGCTTGGAGCAGAGGAAAGAACCTACTGGGTCCTGATTGTCACTAGCCATCACTAAAGTACATGAATCTCTCATCTCTTAAGGTTACAGTATCCCTCATAGCTGAAATACATAACAGAATAATCATGTGCTAGACATAGTGATGGGATGTGGTTAAATGACATTTGGCTTGAGTTATATTTCTAAAAACACTGGGTGGGAAATTTGGTACACAAGTATAGTGCATTCTTAGTGATGGAGAGTCATAAAGGTAAAGCCTTCTGGGCTCTGCCACAGAAAGTTAAAACTATCTAGAGAAGCTTCCACTTTATTATATTTTAAATTTTTTTTAATATTTGTTATTTATTTTCATTTTATTTTTTACATTTAATCACTATGTATCATTACAGTATACCAAATGAATTTTCCCATCATGAATACACTGCATATTAGTCCAGTCAAAGACATTACCATATACATTATATTAAACAGATTTCTTTCCATTTTATGACCCTCAAATGTTTTGTTTCTTGCTTCTTCCCCTTGGTTCCCTCTCTCACCCTCCCCCATTTCCCACCCTCCTCATCCACTGTCTCCAGTATCATCATTGCTCTCCATGCTTTTATACTTTACATTCTAAAAAACTTAAGTTTTATTTCCTTGCTATGTAAATTATATGGTTCATTTCATACCAAATTATCAGTTACTACCAGAATATTAATAATGCAATACAATAGGGTAAAATATAATTTGATCTATTTTTATGTGGTGTCTATTAAGAAATAAATTATTTGGGAACCAGCAGTTAGCATAATGGCTATGTCGCTGGACTCCCACATAGTCGACCGCGGTTTGCGTCCCGGACCCGGTGGCTTAAAACTCATGCTGGGCGCGTGTGCGTGCGTGCCCAAGATCCCAAGAGGAGAATGGAGGAGAAGGGATTGCGGTGTGACCATCCCCCCTGGAGGGGTGATTTCTCGCTTTCTGTCTCTACGTCTCTCTCTGTCTTTCTGGTGAGCACACATGCCCTATAGCGAAAATCTCTCCAAAAAAAAAAAAAAGAAAGAAAGAAATTATTTGAAGTGACTCCCATGATAGTATTACATATTTACAGAGGCTCTAACAATAGCCGAGTATTGTTGGCACAAAAGTCTTGGATTTTGAGATAACTGTAGATAACAATTTTTTTTTTAATCAAAGTCTTCATCTATGGTAGACAAATGGCTTCATGAAGTTAATTAAGTATTGAGCAAAAAATGAGTTTTCATATGCATATATACTAGCACACACAAAACTAAACACACATATGTATACCCAACAAATTCATACTCCTCAAAGTAAAATGATATTCACAGAAATACTTACACGTGTAACACATTTTAATGTCGTTGTGTTTCCTTCATAAGCATGAAGAATAAATCTTCCTCTTTCAGGAGAACTGAAGCCTGGATGCCATGTTACTTCACATTCTAATGAGGAATATGCTTCAACAATGCCTATAGAGGATATACAGAGAAAATAAAACGTGTATCACATATTTATTATATTTATTTTGTTAATATTCAAAGTAATAGCTGGGCTAAAAATATCATGGCATGAAGATAAATCTCTAAAAATAGTGAGAGATTATCGAATCAGTATAAACCTATAGGGTTTGAATTAAAATCTAAAATGTGGGCCAGCAGTTGGCATGATGCTTAAGGTGCTAGAGCCCACATGGCTTACTCCCAGTTCAAGTCTTAGTTGCTTGAAAAACTCTGGGCACCTGTGTATATGTGCCCAAGATCCTGAAAGGAAAGTGGAGGAGAGGTGTTTACAGCATGGCCATCACCCCTGGGGAGTGACTTCTCACTTTCATTTTCTCTCTGTCTCTGTCTCTCTCTGCCAAGTACACATGCCCTAGGGCAAAAACCTTTTAAAAATATTTAAATGCATATCTTATTTACATCTTATTTTCCAATTTTAATAGGATACTCAAAATATATGACAAAACTATGGCAATGTTTGGAAAACAACAGAAAATGTATTAATGGAGCATATCGTCTAGGAATAGAGATGGCTTTATATAGAGACAATAGAAAATCATTTGTGATCCCTAACCACATTGCCCTCTTCATATGTTTCCCTCATTCTGAAATACTTACCAACGTCAGACATTCATTCCATTTTCAGAGGGAGGAATTATCATTACCAGAGACTTTCCTTTTAAACATACACAACCTTAGAGATATAATTTCAATAATTAACACATTTCTATAATTCGTATGTATTGAGAAAGCACGAGGTATCAGGCACATTTGCTGTGAACTGTTATATCTGTTTAAATTCATCATCTCCTTTGGAATAAGGAAAACAACACTTGATGAAAGAATGAGAAGTTCTTCAGATAGAAAGGAGTCCCTAAGATTCAAGGGCACAGGATTCTGAATAGGAAACAAGTGACTTCCACAAACTTTGTCCTAGGTCATGTTGACTTCTGTGTAATGGCCGTTGCCTCAATCCTAAAAAAAGATACAGTGACCACTCCTCATTTTCCAATGGCCATACAGAAATTAACATAGTATATGATGCCCAGAGAACACCCATTATCAGATATTCTTAATTCTCCTAAATGCCAACACTGTGCTAGGCACAGTTGATTGTAAGAAGAAGAGAGTTAGTTGTAGAAGTGTTAAAAGTCTAGGGACCAGCAGTTAGCGTAATGGCTATGTCACTGGACTACCACATAGTCGACCACGGTTCGAATCCCAGACACAGTGGCTAAAACTCACGCCGGGCGCGTGTGCGTGCGTGCCCAAGATCCCGAGAAAAGAATAGAGGAGAAGAGATTGTGGCGTGGCCATCCCCGCTGGGGGGTGATTTCTCGCTTTCTATCTCTCCGTCTCTCTCTCTCTCTATCTGTCTGCACGCACACACACACAGAGTGAGTTTTAAGCCACCGGGTCCAGGACGCGAACCATGGTCGACTACGTGGGAGTCCAGCGACATAGCCATTATGCTAACTGTTGGTCCCCACCTTTGGACTTCTTATATTACCATTCCTTATGATGTGGCCTCCCTCAGAGTGCAAAGTTATCTTATACCATAGTGGTTAAAAGAGCACAAATTCTTGGGACCAAGAGATAGCATTATGACTATGTTGCTGGACTGCTGGACTCCCATGTAGTTGACTGTGGTTGGAGTCCCAGACTTGGTGGCTTAAACTCACACATGGCACGTGCGTGTGCGTGCCTAAGATCCCGACAGGAGAATGGAGGAGAAGGCATTGCAGTGTGGCTATCCCCCCTGGGGGGGGCTTTCTGTCTCTCTGTCTCTCTCTGTCTTTCCGGCAAATGCATGTGCCCTATAGTATAAACCTCTCAAAAAAAAAAAAAAAGAGCACAAATTCCAAACCTAGTCTTTCTGGCTGGATTTTCAGATCAGAGGCTGCCCATGTGGCCTAGTGGTCAAGGCATTGGATCCCACATGACTGACCATGCAGTTCAAATTCCAGATGTGGCAGTTTGAGAAACAGGCCAAGCATGTGTACATTAAGTGCCCCAAATGCTGAAAGGACAGAGAGATGGAGGAGGAGGGACTGCAGTGAGACTACCGCTTATGGGAGGTACTTTCCTCTCTCTCTTTCTCTCTCTGTCTCTCATTAGTGAGTGTATGTGCCCTCTAACAAAAATAAAGAAGTAAGAAATAAAAAAAAAAAATTCAGATCTTCAACCTGCTAGCTGAGACCTTAGGCAATTTATTTAACCTATCTGTAAGTCAATTTAATCATATATAAAATAGTGAAAACAGTTGTATCTAACCCAGAGATTATTTGTGGGCATTAAATAAACTCATGTATGTAAAAGTGCTTGAAATGACACACATAAGAGGTGGATGAAGCTAAAGGAAATTCTATCCATATCTCATGGGCCAGACTGAGCCAGAGTTTTTTTAGATAACAGCATTGCTGTCCCAAACAAAATGAGAGTGTTGTCAGGAAGGGGAATGGGAATCAGAGATGGGCTTAGCAATGTCTACAACAATTGGAGACAGGTAAAAACAAATAATTGTGATGATATAACAAAGGCATAATGGGAGGAGAAAAGAAAGAGGCAAAATCTAAATTACATCAAAAAAGCAGAAGAAATTTAAGTATATGGAGGTGATATTTTAGTTGTGACATATATAATAAGCAGAAACTTTACAGGAGGACAAAGCCTGAGGGGAGTGTAAAAGTTAGCACCTTGGAGTACAGGAAGAGGAAATGGAATGAGGAAGACTGTGATGGGAAATAAAGATTAAATGTTGTAAATAAAGCCATCTCAGTGCTCTGAGAAGAAATGAGAACAATGAAAGGATTATACATCAATATGAAGAGGTCAAATCTCTCCCTATACATCCACGTTAAAATTTCAAGAATTTAACTTAATACCTAATATTTTAATTGCCAGTGGGAGTGTGCATTCACTAGAGACACAGAGAGAAATAGCAAGAGGAAGAAAACATCCCCTAATGGGGCATGGTTATGCTGCAATTCCTTCTCCACCTCTCCATCCTGTCAGGATATAGATTATGCACACACATGTACCTGGCATGGTTTTCATGACACCTTGGCTGGGATTTGAACTATGGTTGGTCATGCAGAATCCAGCTCCCTTAACCACTAGGTAATAGGGCTGGCCTGTTAAGACTGTTTTTATAACACTTCTTGTTGCAAACACTTGTAGAGTCACATTTTAAAAATCCTAATTTGGAAAACACTGATATTCACAAGAAAATACACTTAAGGTGAAATTTCTACAAAGCAGAACTCCTCCATGATCTGAAGTATAATCTATTTAGATGTATAAATAATGACTACTCTTTAATTAGATATAAAGGAGGTAAGGAGAAAGGGAAGGGAACTAGAGTGAGAAGAAATGAAAGGAGGAGAAATGGGAAGCAGGGAGTAAGAAATTGATAATTGGGATGAATGGCAAGATGAATGATAATCAGTTACTACTCTGAGCAAATTTTCAGGAAAAACAGGTCTGAACAGAATGAGAAAATTCTCATAATCAGACAGCTATCCATGCCTCTGACATTCTTTTACAGGCATTATAGAAGTTTTCCACACACTAAATTTTTTGATATATATTTATCTCTCCATTTTATAGATGAGGAAATGAGTGCTTATAGAACACTTTGTTCAGGATAAAAGAGTTAGTGAGAAACTAAAACTAGTTTTAAAATCAGGACTATACGATTCTGGAGTTTGTTTTACTTTTCATTTTAGCAGAATTGGACTTTAGCTGGTTATCAAAACGTATGTGAGCCACTGTAGACAGAAATATTTGGATCTTTCTAGCTGGAAAGGAATGGCATGTACATAAAAAGTTGACACCATATTGATCAACTTCTAAGTTGTCATTTTACCTCCTTAAATGATAGCTGGTGTCCTCATGTGCACACAGCACATCACGTGATGTCTGCCAAATTTGATAGACTACTAGATAACTCACAGTCTAGCAGTTACCAGAGTCCACTGTTTAATTGCCAGAGGGTGTGTGCACATGCTAGAGACAGAAAGGAAGCACTGCCTAATAGGGCATGGTCATGTCATAATCGCTTTTCTTCTATTTTTCTATCCTGTCAAGATGATTTGGGGCATGCATGCACATGTGCTCAGGTGTAGGGTGCTGGGACTTAAACTGTAGTGGGCCACATGAGATCTGGCTTCCTTAACCACAAGGTTATAGGGCCAGCTCCCAGAGTCCTTTTTTTTAACAGAAACATTATATGGAATTCAGAGAATGGCAGAAAGTTAAGAGAACAGTTAACAAATATTACGAACCATCAAAAATGGTAAATCTGAGATTGTTTTCTATCAGTGAAACTTTTTCTTACTTAAATAATAGCTTTAAGTTCTTTATTGTATTAATTAGATTTCATTAGCTGTATTAAACATTTACAATAAATAATTTGGGAATCATTCTAAAAGAATTCAGACTCTAACAAAATTAAAGTCATTCTAAATCATGTATTAGCATCATTTTAAAACTAAAACAAAATAAAAAATTACTTTGTCTATCAGTATCTCTTATGGCTAATTTTGTCAGCTTGGTCAGGCTGTGGGGCTCAGTTGTTTGGTCAAACATGAGTCTAGATGTCATTGTGATGGTATGTTTTATATATAATTAATTTGTAAATCAGTCAACCTTTTAAAATATTTAACTGACAAAAATTGCTAATCTATCCAAAGTATATAACTTCATAATTTCATATGCTTATATAATGATAATAAGAAATTAATTAACAGCCAAATTACTCTCCATAATTTGGGTGCGCTTTATGCAATAAATTGAAAGGCTAAAGAGAAAAGACGGAGGGCCCTGAGGAAAAATGAATTCTACCTACAGAATGCCTTTGTTCTAAATAATGCAGCATCAATTCTTCCCTGGGTCCCCAGCCTCACAGCTAGTCCTGCAAATTTCAGACTTGTTATACCCCATAATCCTATGAGCTCTAACCAAGTCCTTAACATCAATCTTGATCTCTCTTTCTCTCTCCAAATATATATACAGATATAGATAGAGATATAGATGATGTAGATATATCTCCTATATTCTATCTCTCTCTTACTGATTCTGTTTTTTTCTGGAACGTTCTAATACAGGACCCATATTTTCAAATTATACTTCTGTAGGTAAAAATAAACACCTCTTATGACAGTGTCTCATTTACTTCTATGCTCTTATCACCAGTATACAGTACACATCTAACACATAATTAATGACTGAGTACAGGAGCAAATGAATAAATGAGTCTCTAAATCAAATATCATTACCTTTAGCTGGACGAATGGAAAATGCCATCCCTTTTCCAATATTTAGTGGTTGCCATTCAAATTGAGTAGAACGATTCTGGTGATTATGTAACTTAACAGTTCCCCGAAAACATGATTTCACTGAAAAGCCTCTTGGTCTCAATACTACTTCATTAGAAGATAGCTCAAGTTTAACTGGCAGGACAACCGCCATCACTAGGATGTGTCCACCAACTACATTGTTTACTGTAAAGGTAAAAGACCTGCAACACAGCAAGAGCATCCCAATTTAATTGATAATAGCTAGTTGTAATCAAATTCAGTTCCATGTAAAAACATATGTACTATTAATATCCAAAATTAATTCTTAGTATATAATACTTCTAAATAATTATGAAAGATAGATTACCACTGGAATATGATTTTAAATCTATAAACTGATGTACATAGAGTTTCTATGTTTGAGAACCAAATATAATATATACTATCAATACTTAGGCAAATAAATATATATTCTACAAAAGGACAGTTTGATTCTGAAAAACAGGAACTTGAAAACGATTCTTACTTCCAAAATTTTCCATGAGTAGAAGACTCAAATATCATTGAAATATAAGTACTGGATGTAGGTGGAACTACATATGAAAATTGTTTTGTCTTCTGAAGTTCTTCCAAATTAATATCTAACTGGACCAAAACATGTATAGATAGCATATTAATAACATGCAGTGGATGAGTATTTGAGGAGTTCACACAAATATCACCAAAATTCAAAACGGAAGGCCCTGGAGAAATGAACAGCAGGTTATTGTTGAAAAATATGTTAATTTACGATTAAGTTACATGAAAATGAGATATAAAACTATTTTCTGTAATACCAGAATTTATTGACTACGTTTTTTCTATCTAAATGACCACAATTTGATGTTTTAAGATTGTTGGCTAAAATTCAATATAAATATATTCTAATTGTATGGAGAATTTTATGACAAAATAATAAGCACTTATTATAGCTTATCTTAGTACATTAATTTGCAAAACGCCAATACCCTCTCTACTCTTACCAATATAATTTTTTTCACTTATTTAAAATGTACAGAAATTTTTAATTTTCTCATAACTCTTTGCTTAGGTTTTCCTGTTTAAATGTTGAAGGTTTATAACCATTTTAATAATTATAATTCTTACCCTGCCTTTTGTAATACTTTAATTTACTTATAACCGACATAGATTAAATGATCATATTTAAAGTGTAGAGTTTCATTTGTCTGTTTGTTTGTTTGTTGAGAGATTTTTGCTAAAGGGTATGTGCACTCACTGGAGAGTCAGAGAGAGTCAGAGAGAGACAGACAGAAAGCAAGAAATCACCCCCAGCTTTCTTAAGGTATAACAGATAAATAAAAATTGCATGTATTAATAATGTGTAAAATAATATTTTGACTATATATTTCATATATAAATATATATATATAGTGATATGGTTTATCATTAAACTTATCTAAATGAAATTTTGTTCCTTTGAACATCTTCCCTTTGACTCTTTCATGTGCCCCTGCCTATCCTGGCAATAGCCAGACCCAGTTCATTTTTAAGACAGTATTGTGCTGTTTCCCAGCCTAGCCTCAAGCAAACATTTAGGAAAAGCCCAAATCATGACCTGATATCTCAATACTGCTATAATTATACTGCTAGAGAACAGCCAGAAATTTAAAACCTAGATCAGAGAAAGGAGACAAAATGGTCTTTTAGAGGCCCTATTTATGCCCCAAATAGCTAAAGCAATCTTGAAAAAGAAGAGTACATTTGAAGAATTTATAATTATCAAATTAAAACTCACTCTAAATTTAGAGTAGCCATAACAATGTAGAACTGTAAGAAGAATAGACATAAAGGCCAATAGAACAGAACTGAGAATCCAGAAATAAACTCTGACATATGTGGCCAATTAATTGTGAAAAATGGGCTAAAGCAATTCAATGAGGATAATGATAATATTTGGACAAAGTGTGCTGAGACAACTGGATATCCTTCAACTCATACCATAAACAAAAATGACCTCAAAAGGAATTGTAGTCCTAAATAAAAGATTTAAAGTAATCATAATTTTAGAAGAAAAATAAAGGAAGTATTTTTTTATTTGGGGTTAGGCGAAGATCTTGGGGGCATGAAACCAAAAGCAAGATCTATAAAAGAAAAAATTTAATAAGTCAAATTTCTTTGAAATTCAGAACTGTGTTTTAAATAACATCATTAAGAAAATAAGAGGGCTGACTCCATGGTCTGGTGGTTAACGCAACAGGATCCCACATGACTGACCCCACAGAATGAGCCCCAGACTCAGTGGCTTGAGAAACAGATCAGGTGTATGTGTGCCCCAAATCCCAACAGCATGGAGAAATGGAAAAGGGATTGTGGCCTGACTTTTCCCCATGCTCTGTCTCTGGCAATAGTTAAAAACAGGAAAGAAAAAAAAAAAATCAAGTCATATACTCAGAGAAAAATGTTTGAAAATCATATATCTGATAAAGGACTTATATCCAAAATAAATAAACAATTCTTACAACTCTAAGAGTTGTATAAGACACCAAATATCCAAATTAAAAATAGGGTAAAGTATTTGAAAGACATTTCTTCAAAGAAGGTGTATGATTTAAATAGACATTTCTCTAAGTACATAGATGAAAATATATTCAACATCTTAGTTATTAGAGAAATACAACTTAAATTCACAATAGCTAACATTTCACAAACTCTGGGATGTTTATAATCAGAAAAGATAGAAAATAAAAAGCTTATGGAGAACCATAAGCCTCATACATTGTTGGTGGGATTGTAACTTGGTGCAGTCACTTTGGAAAATATTTAGAAGTTTCTCGAAAAGTTAGATATGAGCTTACCATATAACTCAACAATGCCACTCCTAGGAATCTAACCAAAATGAATGAAAATATGTTTACTGAGAGAATTTTGTGTGAATGTTCATAGTACTATTATTCACAAGAGCCGCAATATGAAAACAGCTCAGTGTTTATCAGCTTGATGAAGTGACCAACAAGATGTGGGATATCCATAAATCATGATGCTATTTAAATATAAAAGGAAATGAAATGCTAATATATACTACCACATGGATGAACCTCAGAAACATTATGCTAAGTGAAAGAAAAAAATATACAAGATATCATAAACTACACAATTCTATTTATATGAACTGTTCAAAACAAGAAAATTTATTGAAACAAAGTTGATTAATTGTTGTCTGGGTCTGGGGGGGCACAAATAGGGAATAATGGCATATATGCATGAGAGCTATCGCAGTATTCTAAAATTGGACTGTGATGGTGGTTGCATAATTCTGTAAATTTACTAAAATTCAATGAAATGCATACTTTAAACTTCTGCATTTTATGCAATACAAAAATATCCCATTAAATCTACTTATAAAAACAAAAACTATGGTGCATTTTTGTATACCCTTACCAATAATTACTTGATGAATTTGCTTTGGGGTCAAAATTAAGCTGCAATCATATTTCTCTTGGTTTGTAGATGGGGCTGATTTAAGTCCTTTGAGAACCTATGACAAATCATGATTTTCCAAAATTAATCATTCCATATTAGCAAAAGTTATCTTAAGAATTCTCACAGTGTAACTAAATGTACAATACTGCACATGCCTTTCTTTTCAGGGACTCTTCCTCCTTGGATGTTATATTCCTGGTACTGAGCAATTGGTCAGATTTGATTGAACACTCTGAAGAAGGTAGCGGCTCTTCTATGTCTGTTTCTGAGAGTGAGGGCGACTTTAGCCCTGACCCGGGCTGTATGCCTATGTCTGTATTATTATGTGCAAACATGTATTTCCTATGGGGGAAAAAAAAGCAAAAATATTAAGTGATTAAGGCCAAGTTTTTTAGAAAACACATTGTTAAATCCAAATATTCCTCATAGTGCATGTAGTCTGTGCCCCACTCTTTATCAACTTAACCAATACTGGTACATTAATCTGCAGATTACCTTCTGCTCAGAGGATCCCCTTCTCAATCATCTCAGCGAGGAAGCAAGCCCTCTCCCATTGCACCGAGGGACAGCCTATAGTCAATGACTGATGTGGAGCACAAAAGACAAATTCCTCTAGCTGAGGGATTATGTGGTATAATTTATGCTCAAGAGATCCTGGGCATCAGGCCGAGTAGAAACATTCTTTGAATACATCTTTTCTCAGTTCTCTCTCATGCCCTGTGCTGCTTACCTCATCCAGTACAGGTTTTTCCTGAGAGCACACTCTCCATAAAGCACTGGAATCCCTATTTTAGGATTTGCCTATGGGGAAACCCCTTAAGGTATTCCCAGATTAAAAATAAATAAATAAATGCAATTAAAGTAGCTCCATGTTTTCCTTTTATCATACATTAAAATGTCATTTAAGGGACCAGTAGATGGTGTATGCTTCACTGAATTCCCACTGAGTCAACTGCAGTTCAAGTCCCGGACCCAGTAGCTTCAAACTCATGCTGGGCACCTGTGCATGTGTGCCAAAAATCCAGAGAGGAGAATGGAGGTGAAAGGACTGTGGCGTGACCATCCTCCCGAGGGGGTGATTTCTCACTTTCTGTCTCTCTCTCTCTCTCCAGCTAGCACACATGCCCTACAGTAAAAATCTTTCTTTAAAAAAAAAAGTTATTTAAGTCATCTTAAAAAATCTAAAGAGTAAAGAAAATCTTAAAAAATCTAAAGAGTAAAGAAAAATATATTTGCTCTGTAGACACCATGACTTGCTGCATATGGTTTGAAGAATTGAACTTTACCTATCTGCTTGTTTCTGCATGCGCACAGTTCTTGAATTTGTAATATAGTAATCATAGTAGATTCTGTTTGCTTTCTTTTCTACTTTTTCAAATAGACTGTATGAAAAATCAGGATCCACATAGTTATGTCTTGGAATCTTTGTGAAAATTGTCCTATGATAATAAGCGAGTCATGTTAATATATATACACATATATGTAAACACAAATATATGCATTTTTCAATTAGCATTTATTGAGTGCCTCCTAACAAATTTGTGTCTGGTTTTGGGCAAAGAATGGTGACTAGGACATACTCTAGCCCTTCCTCTCATATCCTGTTCTGTATGAAAACATTATTGCCTATAGAACTACAGTAAGACCTAATTTTTTTCTTAAACTAATCAAAAAAAAATTTCCTTTTTTTTTTTACACTATACGGTGTATGCACTCTCCAGAAAGAGACAGAGATAGAGAAAAAGAGATATAGAGAGGAAAACTGAGAAATCACCCCTGGGGGGATAGCCATGCCAAAATCCTTTCTCCTCCATTCTCCTCTCGGCATTTTGGGTATGCACATACTTGCTCCCAGCTTGCCCTTCGAGCCACCAGGTCCAGGATTTGAACCATGCAGTTGGCCGTATGTATCCACCATCTCCTGGCTGTAAAAATCTTTTTCTTAAGGTCATTGGGATGTAATGGCATCTACTCTAAGTCTATCATTGCGTACTTAAGTAGGCAATTTAGTTCTAGATTACAAATGAAACTTTAAGAAACTAGATCTAAATCTGATTCATGTTTCCTAAAAGTTTGTTTTTTTCAGATCATTATGATCAAAATTAGAAAGGAAAAAATATAGGATAATGAATATTTATGTTAAACATGCTACTTTCTTAAAACATCAGTTTATTAAAAAAATATCAATAATAAATCAATAGGGAAAACCATACATAAATTAATCAAAAATTATTTTATATCTCATTCAT